TCATAGGCAAAAGAAAGACTTGCTTCTGGACATGAGTATGAATAATTATAGTAATTCTCTTTGTCATACAATATCTCTCTCTTTTTTCTTGGAAGGGGGGGGGGATATTCCTACTCATGTCAACATTCTGTAATACTATTTTGTGTGTGGGTAACTATTACTTACATCCATCAGATAGACTAGAATGCTTCAGACATGGTTCGATGACTGATTTTTGTTTTGATTGTGACGTAGACCAGTCATGCGTCAAAACTAAGTTGTCATTCACAACTACTCAACAAGCCTTAATTAAACCCACTCATGACATTGTGACGTAGATTGTTGACACTACACAAATACTGCTGAAGACACAAGAACAGGATTCATTAGGCCTGTTTTCATCAGCTCCAGATTGCCAAATAACTCGCTATTTTAACTATCCCGATCCCAAATTATCCAACTAATTTGCGTCTTCATTTGCCCGCAGTTGCAATTAGCAGTATATTCTTGGGCTAGTTTGCAAAATATCCCGCTATTTGTCCGGTGCGACTTCACTAGCCTGAAGACTCGCACTCTGCGCAAATGATGAGCAAAATATCTCAAGCTAATTTCTTGAGTTCAAGTTTCGAGTTCGAAGCTCGAGCTGATGAAAACACGATTTGTAACTTCAGGATTATTTCCCAAATCAGAAATAGACGCACCTATTGTGACGTAGATTGTTGACACTACACAAATACTGTTGAAGACACAGGAACAGGATTCATTGTGTGGGTTGCAAACGACACTACAGTCTTGATCAGATATTGATATATAAACTTGAACAAAGTAAATATTAAGTTAGTAATAATTGCAAATAAAGTAATTCTTCATAAAAAACTATTTTGCAACCATGCTGATTGAGAGTTAGTGAGATTGCCATTTTTCCATTTAAAACATCAATTTGAGTATGATTGTTTTTTTATAAATGAGAATGATGTTATGAATAACTAATTTAATCATTAAATAATAAATTTATTTGATCTTCAAAGTAGACATATTTGTGAGAGATAGAATTGAAAATATGAGTCTTATGTGAACCATCACTAACTTATTGAGCTTGCTAAGAACAAAATTAGAGAACATTGACTTTCTATATGAAAATAACCACAACACAACATTACCAGTAAACTGTAGCCTAGCACATTTCAATATTTGAGAAAAGAGCCCCACCCCCTATGGTGAGGGGTTTTCATGGACCAGTGGATCTGAGATTATATTATCCAAAACAAAACAAAAAATGATTTTAGAAGAGTATGAATTTACAAATAGTAACAAAAATAAAAAATAATAAAAAAGTGAAAGGCGTAAATATTCTAAAAAAAGAATGAAACGCCAATAATACCAGACAACAAAAACAACAACACCCCCTCTGGTGCAAATTACAAGGAATTTGCTTTTGTATTTATATAGTATCATAGATTCTAGGTAAAGGGGTTCAAAGATTCTTGTACAAAAAGGGAGAGAGTGAGATAGAGAGAGATGTGATATAATTGCTATTGATTAATGTCCATGAGTCTACTTATTTAATATCGTTTTGATTTCTAGCTGTTTGTTGCTGAGTTATCACGTTTGTTTACCCCTATCTAGCCTTCACAGACCTCCCAGGTCAGTGTATAATTCTGATGACCATGACTAGTATAAGCGTAATCAGGGTAATAGTTCTTAATGTGTTTATCAAAAGGAAGGAAACGGTTTGTCAAAAGTGAAGATTACACATCACCCTGGTGGTCGATAGAGGGAGCTATTCAAGATAATTGCGTGGAGTCCTGGCTTATGCTAGTTCTATTATTAGTGATTCACTTGATTATAATGTAAGTTTGAGCAAAGGAAGAAAAGTTGTAAGAGAGAGAGTCAAGAGAGATAGACAGACACGGAGAGAGAGAGAGAGAGAGAGAGAGAGAGAGAGAGAGAGAGAGAGAGAGAGAGAAGAGGGGGGGGGGGGGTGAAGATGAGGAAATATGTAATCAAGAAGGTTCTGGAGAAAATCTAGTTAAGATTTAAGAGGTAGAAATAATTTATAGAAATATACAGATAGGTATGTAGTACATGAATGAGAAAGGGTTAAAGTGAAAAGATGTTGACTAAAAGAGCATTGATTCCATTGAGCTAGTGAATGATACTTCTCTCAAGAGGGGGAATACCCCAACTAAATGATATGTTTTATATTGGATGTAATCTTAAATCTTCTCAAATATGACACCAAATATTTCAAAAGGTCAATTGCAATGAGTTAAAAATGATACTTCCTGTTGCTCTGTCACTGAAATGGTACTTGTTTAAATTTGTTTGCTATTTCTATTCATTTTTATCTAATTTCATTTGTCTCTCCCTACTAGATCTTTAACAAGATGCAGATAACATAATGCCATGCTACATCCAAGATATTAGATCAGCTACTCAGATAATTCTCTGTTTGAAGCTGATGTCCTATCAATTTCAATGGGTGGTTTTACAACAACAACAACAACAACAACAACAACAAAAGAAGAAGAACAAATTGCCCATAAATAGTCAAAAACGAATTAATCTAGGGAAATTAATCTCTCCTCTTTTTTTAAAGATGTCCCGTTCATCTCACATTGTGTGCAACCTTTTATGAAATACTTTTTTTTCTCTCAACGGAGTGGAGAAGGTGCAATTTGGGAGATGCTGTATTCCTTGCCAAATAATCAAATACAAGTAATTAAAAGATATTTAATTGACTGACGATTTTGAATAAGATTATTACTTAATGTTTGTTGGGTTTCATTCTCTTTTAATTGCATTTGTCTTTCGTACTTGCAAAAACTTGATTACTGTAGTTGCAAATTCAAGTTAATAATGCTCCGTCCTTGAGTTTGCTTGTTATTGCATTTCTATAGCATGTTTATTCAGAGTGTTTTTGGTGAGGTATTATGTTTCTGCAGAGGCTCCTCTTCTTTCCGTCTTTTGCATAAAAACAAAGAAAATCTGACATGGATTTAAGGCAGGAAGAGGCATATTATATGGAAGAGAATACCGGCCAATGGGGGACATTGAAAGATAGTCTAGCATCAGAAACCTTGTATCCTTTTAGACTGTCCAATTCTATACACTCTCTAGCTTTAAATTTCTGAACATTAAAAAAAGACAATTGAGATAATTTTGTTTGACTTATTTTATTCACAATGATTAATGAATTTAAAAAAAGAGAAGCAGAATACCTCTTTTGTGACAACTAAAATTGGATTTTGTCAGCATTAGTTTAATTTGGTTCTTCTAATGGGTGCTCATGTTTTGTATCAGAGTTATTTCTGTTAATAATAATAATAATAATACTCAGTTTTTATATAGCGTTTATTACAATCACTAAGCGCTTCCAAACTTGGAGATTATTGCCCCAGCTTTAGCTGTGCTGCCATTACGCCGCTCTAGCATTTTAAAGAATTAATTCCTGCCAGGTACCCATTTACATCACCTGGGTTGAGTGTGGCAAATGTAGATCGATGTCTTGCCAAAGGACATTAGTGCCGCTGCAGGTCTGGAACCGCGGACCTTGTGACCTCGACAGTCCGGCAACTTAAAGAGAAGGTTGAGTTCTGGGAAGAGGTGAAAAATAATTTGTGAGCATTACTCATTCTTATTATGCAAGTGTGGAAGAACATCAGTTAAGACATGTTCCCTGAAAAGCTTGGCTCTTCAAATGCCTTCATATTCTAAATATGCATGTAACATCGTAAATATCGGGGGCCGGCTTTTTATGCCACGTGTTCGTGTAGTCCCATATACATCTTTCTGTGCAAGTGTTTGTAACTTTACCAAGACTTGGCCACATTTCTTATCATTTTGATGATTCCAGAACCTTGCAATACACACAAATTCTTATATGCTAGATGATCAACCTTTTCTGGTCGGTTCCACACCGTTTCTTTCACAATGCAATCGCATGACCAGAACTCAACTTCATCTTTAACCACTCGACCACGGCACCTCTATTGAAGTTTGAATTGAAAGACTAATTGGATAGTGGATTAAATGAACCCCTTCCTTCCTGCCAGGTTCAGATTGGATATATGCCATGGGTTAACAAGAATTAGGAGAGAGGGAAAAGAAAACAATTATAAAATAACAAGAAATAAAGAAAATATGGATAGAGGAATAAATACAAATTGGAGAGGCAGAGGGGGGAAAGGGATGCAGAGATTAACGGGTGAGGAAGGATTAAGAGAGATGAAAGGCAAACACACAGATAAAAATGAAATACAGAATGGAAAAAAAAATGAATGTGAAATTTAAAGAAAACTTAGAGTGGGAGAGAAAGCAGGTGAGATACAAAGTAAAGGTCAAACTGAACAACAACAAATGTTTAATGGAGAAATGACAATACAATGTTTTCCAATATATTTTTTGGAATTATTGCATGATTATAATTTCCTTCTTCTTTCTCCTCCTTCTCCTCCCCTCTTCCTACTATTCTTCTTCTTCCTCCTATTCTTCTTCTTCCTCCTCCTCCTTCTCCTCCTCCTCATCACCATCGTCATCCTCCTCATCCTCCTCTTCACCCTCTTCACCCTTCTCATCCTCCTCCTCTTCCTCCTCCTCCTCCTCCTCCTCCCCCTCCCCCTCCCCTCCCCCTCCCCTCCCCCTCCCCCCCCCCTCCTCCCTCCCCCTCCTCCTCCTCCTCCTCCTCCTCCTCCTCCTCCTCCTCCTCCTCCTCCTCCTCCTCCTCCCTCCCCCTCCTCCCCCCTCCCCCCCTCCTCCCCCTCCTCCTCCCCCTCCTCCTCCTCCTCCTCCTCCTCATCACCATCAATATCATCACCATCATTGCCAGTGCAACTATATGAATTAAAGTAATATGATGGAAACAGATTTTATATATTGCTGTACAATTTGATACATGATTGTTATCAGGTTCTCTTGTGTCAGTTTGCAGTGTCCCTACTTTTATCATATCTTTGTTGCTTTATCTTAATGTTTCTACAGCTCTGGAGGTGTGTAAGAGGAGAGTTTTATCCATAAGTCTGCCGTCCATTCCGGAGCACTTCGCAGAGACGGACAGGACCATCTACATGTCTTCACTACTCTCATTTGATGCCACCTGCATGGTAAGAACAAAAACATATATTAAGGCCCCTCTGCACTACTTATACCTACTTGCGGCCTCTATACAACCAACAACGCCTAAGCGGTACCCGTTGATCCCCCATGATGCCCTTTTTCTTATGTTAATTGAGAGCTGATTTGATGAGATAATCACCTGCAAGTGGCCTTGCAGGGAGGTCTAATCCTTCCATGCCAAACTAGTGCAGAGGGGCTCTAAGAAACCGATACACTGAAAATAAATACAAAGTGGACAGTTTTAAGAAGTGTAGTAGTATAGTGGTCCATTCGCAGGACAAACAAAAGTTTACGGTTTCAAATCAGAGCCCGTCCCAACATCTATGGGTAGTTCCACATCTACCACCTTCCACCCAGGTTTACCTGATATGCTAGAGTGCTACATATTCAGCCACTTGGCTATAACCAATGTAATATTTTAGGAGCGCCAAGGACGTCATCATGTGACAGAAGTGAGAGTTATATAAGAAACTACCATTTCTATTATTATTATCATAATTTTTGTTTTTTTAAATAAAAGGAAAATCCAAACTTCAGAGCAAACAACTCTAAAAGGAGACTGAATAATTAGAAAAAGCAGACTGGTGAAAGTTTGAATGAAATCAGACAACAACAAAAAAAGTTATGAACTTTTGGAAGTTGTAATCACTTTACATTTAGGAACTTCAAATTGGCAGAAACCGGTACTTTCATTGATTTAGTGCTGGACAACAACTTTCCTATTTGTTCCAACACATACAATTCCTTGTAATCAAGGAAAGAGAAGATGTGAAATGTGGGGGGGGGGAGGGGGGGTTGTAGGGGATGAGGAGGAACAAACTATTTATCTGTTTATCTTTAAAAAATTCTTGGCTTTGATCGATACTTTTCACTTTACTTGAACTCGATTCATGAGAATTTGACAGGGCTTAAAATGGATGAGGGGTGGCATGCAACAAGCAAGGATTTTAGGGGACAAAGTACTTCTTCTCTTCCTGTTATCTTTTTGAAAGTCTTGTCTAAAATCAGTAATTTGTTGTTAAACTTTTTATTAAAACTTGGTTTGCCTCGATGAAATGACACTTAGAATTGATAATTGGACATCAAACAAGAATACAGACTTCTTAATTCAGTCCAGACAGCTGTTAATCAACCAATCGAAGACAAGTTTGACCACAAATGGTACGTACGTCTGCCCCAAATCAATATTATTAAAGACCCTGTTGGAAGTGAAAAACAAAATACATGGATTATATATCAACAGAAAGCTTATAAATCATAGATTACTGTAATATCAATTATATGCCATTTTAGTGTCTGTCAGAGGAGTATCAGCCCTCTGAAGACTCCTAATCTAAAGTTTTGAAAATTTGAATTTGTCCACCTCAAAATTAGCTATCAAAATTCCTTTGCATTGATTATGCATGGCTCGCTGCCTCGGCTATATAGGCGAGCTGTTCGGGTCCCCATGTTACGTTGTTACTGTAACTTCGGCAAATTTGACCCCTGTTGACCTGAAAATTGGAGGGGAGTGAAAAATGAGGTTTTAATTTGCTTTTGTACTATAATAAAAGGGAAAATACTTGTTTTTCCTTTATATTTATATTCTATGTTTATTCAGCTTTCCATTGATATATGAAGTTGTATTTTCATTGGATAGGGTCTTTAAGACAGTTTTGTAAATACAAGCATCCTAATTCAGCCTAGACAGATATTAATCAATCAAATATTATTTTCACTCATGAAATGTCTAGCAAAACTTGACCGGATATAGGGATTAGAATCATATTACAAGCAAGGTTATCTTGCATTGGAAAGATTCTCCATATTGCCCTGAATTTCATCCCTCAACTTTCAAGGTCATTGTCCCTCACGAGGAAAAGCTCTTAAGGAGATCTAGAGAAGACTTTCGAATTACAACTCTTCCCTCTTTTGGCAACCCTTAAGTTATCAAAGCTACAATTTTGTTCACATCATTTAGGCAATATTGGCTTGTCCAGATATTTAGAGTGTATTTCAAGGTCGTTGTGTCACATGGTTAGGGTTAAGTAAGAAAATCTACATGGATGTTTCTACAAGATGTAATTAAGACATGCGACTACATATATGTATGGCCTCCTGCTAAATACCAATTTGATCTATCCAATTATGCTGAATGTAAAGAGAATGAGTTTCTAACTTGTTGCATTTTTTTTATTCATTTATTTTACATCTTTAACCAGAGTAGTGTGTTCAGTTACAACAATACAAAATGATATCATTCATGTACAATAAAAAGCAATTGAATAAGAAAATACATATATAATATAAAAATGGTACAAGTCTTTCAGAGGGCTCTGCATAAAAGCACAAAACAAATAGTAACATACTTCATAAAATTCACAGTGTCTTGTTTAATACTGTTGAATGTTACTACAAACTTACAAACATAATGATTTGAAAATCAGGGGGGGGGGGGGGAGGGGTGGTAGGGTATTGTTGTTTTTCAAGGGTAATCTTATTGTCTTAGAATGTTTTTATATGGGGGAGGGGTAACCTACAATTTTAAAAAGCAACCAGTCCTATAGAGCGTTTTATCACTTTATCACATAAAATCATGAGAAGAGAGGAATATGTTTCAGTTAGATTAAAATTCAAGGCTGCTGACAGCATATTTTGAGAATGAATTTAATATCACAAGCATTCACCCAGCTGCCTTGATTATTAGTTCTACTTTATTTCAAGGCATTCCCGGCTTTCCTGGTCTCTGCATAGCGAAGAAACTCCTGCAAACCAGCTCCAAATCCTGCCCGAGTGCATTCGCTCGTATTACGTCCAGGATTATTCTATCACATGTGCTATCTAAAGCCCCATGCCACGGCCGTATTAGATCGCTCTTCATCACATGTCAGACCTAGTTGGAAAAAGAAAAAAACATTATCCTGAATTCTCGGCTTTGCAAGGCAAAAATACAGATAGATGAAAATATCATGTACTCATTACACCAGTGCTTCTCCAAGGCCAATTATATTTTGTATTATTAGATCTTTAATCCCTCTCTAAGGTATTGAAAATTAAATTTGAGTGTTCAGCAACTGGCTTTTTGAAGTTTGGAAGATTCTTGAGGGTACAAATGCATGACAAATTAGACTGTAAATCATATATATGAAAAAGGAGGGGATAGAGACCCCCGATCTGACATCATGCCCTCCCCTTACCGCCCCCCCCCCAATCCTCAAAAAATATCACGTAAATGAACTAAACTAAATCAATTTGTTTAATCCAATGTTACAATGGTTTGTGACAGTCTCCACCAAAAATGATTCAGACCAAACTTTATACGAGCGATGAGGGATATCCCTTCAACCTCCTTCTATCTCCAATCAAGAAAGAAACCATAGCAGATGCTAAATGAGAAAAGCTATATGCCCCCAAAAGAGTGTTGTTTTTTTCTTTCATCAACTTAAATGAATTTATTCTAAATTTGGTAATTCTTGTAACCATCGATAAATACAGAAATGAGATGCCTTCCTCATTAATCAGCACACTAAGTGTTGTGCACTTTAGCACTTTTTCTACGAGGTGAATATTTAACTAATTTCTGATCTCAGAAGTTTGTGAGCTAATGACTAAACCCAGTCATCAGAAACTTGACTCAAGTTTTATTTTTGCTGCACCCCTGACGAAAGAGACTTTGGGTGAATAACGCTCTTAATCCGAGGGATATTGATCGCATCCACGATATCAAACGAGCACCGTCTTATTCCCTTCAAGATCGCTAGAGCATTAATCATCACGAAGGAAAAGTATGAAAGAGAGTAAAAAGGGGGGTAAAATAGGGAGTCTGATCGGTGATAACATAAAAGTCAAAGTCTGCTCCGGGCCAATAATGTGATAAAAGGGTTGATCAGTTAACGGGGTGATTAAAAAGTCAGAACTTGTTCGACTAGGGATTCAGAGTTAGGAGAGGTCTGAATCATCCGTGTCAGGTTTAAGAGAGAGTCATCAAGGAAAGGGGATGTCCCATGATTCAAGCCTTTGCCTTGTTGTAAAGTCTAAAAGGAATTCTCAGATGGTGTGTAGACTATGAAGTAGATAATACCTTGTTACATAGTATTGGGTCTGCATTTACATGTATTGCACATAACTTTACAAAATTGTGCGTATTGGACATGAAACTACCAAAGTTAGGTAGTTACAATCCATTTTCTCTTTTTTATTAGTCGATAAAAAGAGATATCCCTGTTATGTTAAACAATTTTTTTAACGAGGCTCCAAATAGACGATATGGAAAGGAAGGTTCTTCATCTAGTCAATATGACAAGAATGAGGAAGGAATAATACTCATGCACCAGTTGGATGAGTAAATTTACAAACCACCTCGTTCAGAGTTGTCTCTCCTTCACTGAGAATACATCGGCTGATCGAGGTGTAGTTTTTGGAGTGCTGCCATCCCAGAATGCGGTCGAGAATTGCGTGAGTACGCTTGCCCGCCAGGCCAGTTGCCGCAAACGGAGACTTCCTGCGTAGGACCCGAAGCCTGCCCGGCGCTCGCAAACACTTGTCGCACGCTGACGCATGTCCTCCAACAACTGGTGCGCTATGAGTCACCAATAGAGGGCATGTGTCGAACGAACACTAGTACCACAACCTTAGACCAAGAAATGACATGACACTTTTTATAACCACAACTTTACCTGAGAACCACCCGGGACGCTAAAATTTCAAGTTTTAGAAAGTACTCTGAAAACGTTAAAAGGAAAAATGGAGATGGTAATTGTTTTAAATATATGATTGAATTTTAACTGAACTGTCTTCATCATTTTTAACTCTCCTAGTATCATATGTGAAAAATGACCGAAGGGATTAATTTGCATACTTTTTAGTTTTAATGGATGGTTTTGTCTTGCATGACACAGACACAAAAGAAATTTAATAGTTGGTCCATTGTGGTTGAACTACCATCTTCAAAGAAACATGTATACATGGACATGCCAGTTGTGAAACTCTTGTCTGAAGTAGATGTGAA